GAGGCACCGATTCTCACCCTGCAAGAGGGTGTAGATGACTCTGTGGTTTACTATGACGCTTTGATCACGGGCATGGGTGCGGTACTGATACCATGGGGTCACGTGATAGCAGGTTTCGGGAACCAGGTTAGATTTCTGGTTAGCACTCAAGTTCAGTTGTGTGTTAGGTGGAGTGAGTGACCGACCCAGTATGGAAAGTGTTGTAAGACTATGGGGCTAGCCGTAGCATTCACTAGTAGCTAGATAGTGATAGAGTGTTGTGAGTCTGTGGGTGTAGCCGTAGCATTCACTAGGTTAGTAGATAGTGTGAGCACGTTGTTAGGACGCAGAAGGAACAATAGTACCCACCAATTCGGGTGCAGCAGTGAGGATATGGAAATCCACATATTGGATTTCGGAATTACCCAGATGGATTAGACCTGGTTGGGCCAGTGATAGGACTGTAGGAGCGTTACTACAGTTACGGGATCAGGAAAGCAATGGACTGTACAAGATTGCGTGTGAGATAAGGCTACCATTGGTCAGGTAGCAATCACTTCCAGCCTTGGATTTGATGATGACAGGATTCGACGTATGGACCCGATCGGTTAGATCAAAAAGTAGTAGAGTCACACTAGCATGATAACTAGTGGCAACTAGTTCCAGAGAAGGATCGTTCAGAAGTCGTGTGAGCCGACTAAGTGGGGAGTCCTTTGGCTCCGCAGCCGGGTGGAAACCAAGTATTTCAAAGGATTGGCAAGCGAATTAAGACCCAGGAGGTCTTGGTAGCTTTTGGTGAGCAGCTATGTAGCATCGTATGCTGCTTCAGGCGGTTCAGTGTTCGAGCAGTTTCAACGCTTGGGCAGTGATAGTATGTGTGTTTTAGTTGCATATGCGCACAGAATAGTTGGTTTATTGGGGAGTGACAAGTCACCCACAGTGGGATTAGCTGAGCCTTAGCCGAGAATAAGTGATCTACAGAGGTAATTGGGTTTGTTAACTAGGTTTATGGCGGGAACCACATGCTATCAGAAGTTGAGTAGTCAGTTGTGAGATAAACGGATTGGATTCAACGATATTGATTCAGTATGGGTGGTCTGCCAGGGATTCAGACCATCTCGAGACAGCAGATTCAAATCGAGTAAATGTTACCTAGTTGCGAGATTTTCGTTCATCTACGGATTGTAGTGCTTTACGAGGTTTGGTCATGGCTAACCTGGTAGGGTTAGGGTGTGCCCATAATGGTGACCATGATACTAGAGGGGTTGGGTGAGTAAGGAATGGTAAGGAATGATTTCGGGGACGAAATCTAATTTAAGTGGGGGAGAGTTGTAAAGCCCCGTTTATTTATTAAGTCAATAAATAAAATAATGAGCGAATAGTAGCCCTAAAATAAATAATTATATATCAATGGATGGTCTCGAGGGGCTAATTGTCATAAATTTAGAAGTGGAGGGCTGAAGGGAAAATATGGGATTTAATTTAAAGAGAACTTATGGGAGGGACCAATTTTGCCATTATGGCAATATGTTATGGTGTCGGGTATATAACACATAAGAGAACCCTAAACCTTGAATCAAATGCGTCCGCCACCATCCCTTTTCACTTCTCATTTTTCCGATCAGCAAGGCCGCTACCCTCCTTCTTCATTTTCGATCGTCGCCATCACCATAGAAGCTCCTTTAACCGCCGATGGCATCACCGAGTTCGAAAGCTCTCGTCTCCGCCTATTGCTTCGTCGACGAAGGCTGCCATTCCACCACCTGTTTCCGTCGGTTAGGTCGTGTATGTCCGGAGATGGCCTGTGACCGCTGCCCGTTTCGAACTAGTCACGTTGCTGCCGTTCTCTTCTTTTCCTTTTGCTCCATCTGCCGCCAAGGGCTCACTTCTATTGCTCCGGTCATGGTCACAACCCCAAAGGGCTGTCGAGTTCGTGTGGTTTATCACCTGTCGAGTTGGGGTGCGCTTCCTTGCTCAGCTCGTCTCCGTGCGTGTATGCCTGCTTGCAGTTGGCCAGAAAAGCGTGGAAACCACCATAGCAGCCGCCATGGTGGCCATTACCTTGTTGCCGCCGGCTTATGCCACAAAGTGAGTGGTTGGCTTCCCTCTCCGAGTAAAGGAATGAAGAGGTGCATGATTCAGTCGATGTGTGCGTGGGTCATTGGCCAGAGTCCTCAGAAAAGGCATCACCACCACCATAGGGTGGTGGTTGCCACCATCTGCCGCCTCCGGCCACCACAAGGTGGCTGTGTGTGTGTGTGTTTAATTGTTTAGTGTATGTTTATTTTGATATTTAGCATTGTAAAATGTAAATCACAGCTTGGAATAATAAAAGAACTTGAAAACCACCACCTTAGGGTGGTGGCTGCCGCCACCGGCCGCCGTGTCGGGTAGCGGTGTGCTTTGATGGTGTTTGGACTCGTTTGGATGATTGGACAAGGGACTAAAACCCTAATGGGCCTTGAAACCCTATTGGGCCTAACGAAGCTTAAGGGACTCTAATGGACCCAATAAAACCCTAATGGGCCTAATAATATTTTAGTGGGCTTGATAGGCCCGATAAAACCCTAATTGACATAAAAGACCAACAAATTGATAAATGGGCTAATATTTGGATTGGAAAACCCTAATGCCATTAAAACCCTAACTTTAAGAATTATTCGGGTCACACAAGAATTATTTAATAACTTGAGATATTAAATAATAAGCATTGGCAAAAATTAATCTAAGCGATAATGGACTTAATGGATTAAGTCCTTAATGGATTAAGTCCTTAATGGGTTAAGTAGGAAACTTAACCCTAATCATCATTTAATGTGAAACCCTAATTTCACTTGGGTTTATTGTTGGGCCTTTCTATTGGGCCTTGATGATTGGATTAATAATGGGCCATCCAAGAATAATTATATGGACTAAAATGATTTAATGGGCCTAGGGTAAGTCCCATGTAAGGGGTTGGGCCCAATTTGTAAAATTGGGCTATAGATGGACCATAGTTGGGCCTTAATGATTGTATGATGTTGGGCCTTAGAATAAGACCATGTATAGGCGTGGGCCTTGGGCCATATGTTGGGCTTTGATTTCCTAGTGGACTTTAGGCCTAAGGATTGGGCCTTGGGCTTGCATAAAGTCAACCTTGGGGTAATGTAGTAATTATCCAAGTGAGTATCTATGATTATGTGTTGGGACCCAATTATTAATTGGGTGTTATTTTTGTGTTGACAGTTCGGGAATCTGTCATCTAGCAACTGGGGTGAAGTTTGCGGGACTTCAACAATGTGGGGTTATGTCTACGGGACTTCAGCAGTATGAGGTGAGTTACCTTCCAGTAGCGGTGGGTCTAAGGCCACAATTCCGGCCCACCAGTAGGAGACGTATGATAGATGATTGTCTTTGTGATATCATCTAGGTTTGCTACTACATGATATGTTATATGCTAGCATGATATGTTGTATCTGATAGTAGTAGAGTTCGGTTGTTAGGACCGAAGGGTAGTCAGACACTCCAGATACATCTGACAGTATGTGATGATATGTTTGCATGCTGGTTGTTATGTTATATGCGATAAACGTAGTAGGAGGGGACCAGTCCCCGAGTTCGGTTGTTAGGACCGAAGGGTAGTTCAGGCACCCCAGATATGTCTGATATTATGTTTGTGTTATGTTATATGTGATAGTAGTAGTAGGGGGTGAAATAGTCCCCGAGGTTCGGTTGTTAGGACCGAAGGGTAGTCAGCACCCCTGAATAGCTCGACATGGGTAGGTCAGCGCCCCAGAATGGCTTGACACGGGAAGGACGGCACCCCAGAATGGTCGCATGGGTAGGTCGGCACCCCAGAATGGTCATACCGGGTAGGTCAGGCACCCCAGAAATGTCTGGCAGTATGTATGTGATATGATTGTATGGTATGTGGTATGATGGGGGAACTCACTAAGCTTTGTGCTTACGGTTTTCAGTTTTGGTTTCAGGTACTTCGTGTCTAAAGGAAAGGAGCCGGCTTGATCGCAGCGCATCACACTATGGTTTCCGCACATGAGATCTTTAGGATTACACTCTGATATTGTTTTATGATAACATGTTTAGTTATTTCTACTTTGGTTTTGACATGACATGACATTACACATGTTTTATTACACTGTTGGTTTTATAATGACGTATTTAAAAGTGAAATTTTTTGCCTGTATTTTTGGGGTGTTACATCTCCCTTGAATAATCATCACCCCCCCCCCCCCTTGAATCTTCAACAAATGCCATGGAGAGAATCCAGAAAGTTAAGAAGAATCACCGACAATCTTCAAAACTTGCCAGATTTGATGAAATAAATCTCTTTTAAAATCATGCCAAACTTCAAATATTAAAACCAGAAAAATAACAAAAATTAATTTTGTATTTTTCGATTTGTAAATTTAGACAAAAGAATAGAAAAAGAAGCAATAATTTAGAGGGGTTTGAAAAGAATAAGACCAAAGAAAAGGATAAGAAGAGAAAATATTTTGGAAAGAAGGGTAAAAGGTGGTAAAACCCCAAGAAATTGAAAGAAGGGTAAAAGGTGGTAAAACCCCAAGAAATTGAAAGAAGGGTAAATTACACCGTTGGTCTCTTGTGCACATGCCAGAAAGCGTGTTTAGTTCCTATTTCCAAAATTTAACTCGTGCAGTCCCTCGTTGTTATTTATCTTGCACGGTTAGTCCCTATGCACGTTATCTGTTAAATTCTTTCGTTTAAGCTACCCACGTGCCTTGCACGAAGGGGCATTTTTGTCTTTTCAGGGTTTGTATACATGAACCAGTATGGCGCGACTTCGATAACCGATCATTTCTCATTTCATCCTCCGTCGACCCTTAGCATTGCACAAGAAAACCCTAGTTTTCTACGATGGTGAACTGGAGGATTAGGCAATAATGGGAGGAATACGATCTCCAAAGCTCATACGGTAAAATTTTCTACATTTTCAGTTGATCATCCATTATACGTTCCTAAAATGTAATTTTAGTTTTGGGTTCGCAGCTAACAATCCATCTATGTTCTCAATACGGTTGAACTATGGTGGAGTTTTTATGAAGTTTACAGGCCGAAAATACATAAAGGGGAAGATGAAATATATTGACGGCATTGATAGTGACTTGTTCTCGGTGCATGATATGGACAAGATAATGGAATTGCATGATTGTGTGGAACCAGGTAAAAGTATTTACTATCATTTCAAACGACCAACCTGGGATTTAGATTTTGGGTTGTATGCTTTGGGCTGTGATGAAGATTTAAACCACTTTAGGTCATACGTTTATGAACACAAGGTGATAGAAGTGTATACAGAGTTTTGGGAAACCAAGCTACATACATATAAAATGTCCCCAAACCCTGCAAAGATAAAGATACACGAAATTCCTGAGTCCCTTTGTTGTAAAAGCTTGTTATTGACATGGTCAAATTCAGGGGATTGTCCTAGTGAAGAAGCCCCTGTTTTTTAGAATGTAGAAACTATGGATGAACCCCCTAGTACATTACTTAAAACAACCTTGGAACAACCCCTTGTTACATTGAGTGAAACAGTTGAGTCAACCCTTGTCTATATACCAAGAATTGAAAGCCCTTTGACTAAACCAATGATAGGAAGCACATGTCCTAATGTTGATGGTTGGGATGATACATATGAATGGTGTGAACCTTTTGGTGGGACTCCTATGGAACAAGATGAACCAAATAGTGAAAAAGTAGGTGAAGACAGTCAAGCTAGTAAAAATAGTCATGATAGTGATGACAATGAAGATAGTGAAGACAGACAAGATAGTGATTACATAGTTGATGAAGATAATTTGTTAGATGGTCCAGAGGTTGATATGAAGACTTTCACCTCAACATTGACAAAGAGGTGGAGTGGGTTGGAAATTTTCCTGGTGATCGAGATGAAGCAGTAGAAGGTGATGAAGAATTAGAGGTTATAAACACTGAAGAATTTGTATTTGCATCTTCATCAGATGAGGGTGAAGCTAGTAAAAAAAGGAAGAAGATAAGAGATTTACAAAGAGCACATAAGAATGAAGCAGCTGCTGTCAAAGATCCATTTTACATCCACCAGACTTTTAGCACAGCCAAGGAAGTTAAACAACAAATTTATCTCCATTCCATACATAGTAGAAGGGAGTTAGACTTCGTCAAGAATGATAAAAACAGGATTAGAGTGGTTTATAAAGGGAAAATACGAAACCTTGGGATATTAGAAATAGGTGGGACCAGCAAAAGTAATGACAAAGTGGGACCAAGTCAAAAGAAAAAGAAAGTGAAAGATGGTTATATTCATAAATTCCCATGGGTCCTACTAGTAAGTAAGTGGAAAAAAGACATTAACTGGACTGTTAAACCTATGAAAAGCAACATACATGTCACACCCAAAAACCAGGAACGGCGGAAACGTTCTGGGGCGGAGGACGTCATGTATAATATCAACAACAGTGTAAAGTAGTAAACAAGCAACAACATCATCCATTGCATTAATAATATAATTATTATACAAATGTGTTCTATCAAATTTTGATAAACACTAAAGCGTAAATCAAAATGAAAGATAAGTCTTGAACAAGCTCCATCTTCCTTTCTCCTTGCATCGGTACCTGTCTATGATGACCTGAGGATACAAGTAATTTTGAAAGCGAGTATCAGCTTTGAAGCTGGTGAGATCATAAGTATTAATGTGTCTTAATTTGTAAAACTTATAATTTTTAAGACTTGACATTGTTTTGAAAGAAAGCTCGTATAAGTATGAAAATGTTTGTAGAACAACTGTAAATGTTTGAAAAACCCTTGAAATCCCTATGATTCCTATTAGTAACAAAAGGAGTCTTCTACCAAGACTTGATTGTTCTCAATGAAATCTTCTATCAAGACCTAACTGTTCTGAATGTAGTCTTCTACCCAGACCTAACTGTTCTGATTGTAGTCTTCTACAAAGACCTAATTGTGTTACTATTATTATCATTATAAGAAATTGTATCCTTTGGTACTAGGATACTTAAATATAATGCACCTCATTGGTTATGTGAATGAGTCACAAAATAAAGGCAATAATACAACTAACCTGAATATTACCCTTTGGTACTAGGGTAACTAACATTGTTAACTTTAAGACATTCGTAGATGTACTTTTACCTCTGTTGCTAACAGCTGGGTATAGGAATAGTTAGTCCCTTAAAGTATACCTGTAATGGTACCAACCGTTGACATCCGTGGATGTGCTTTTACCTCTGTAGCTAACAGAGATTCTAGGAATGGTCAATCCCGCAACGTATCCTTTGGTACTAGGATATTAAATCCAATCTATCTCGTCGATTATGTGATTGAATCACAAAGTAAAGATAAGAATGAGGATTTTGATAACAGAGTCGATACATATAAAATGTAATAGGACTCCTCCTGATATATTTATGTAACAGTGCTCCTATAAGTATGATCATGTAAAAGTAATCATGTATATGTACTTATGTAAATGTACTCTTGTAAGTGTAATCATGTAAAAGTAATCATGTATATGTACTTATATAAATGTACTCAGGTAAGTGTAATCATGTATATGTACCTATGTAAAAGTGCTAGTTGTAATGTGTGTTCTCTCTATCTAGCAAGTATAGTAATGTACTGTAATGTTCTAGAAGGTATTGACTCATGAATGAACTGACTCATTTGTATGATATCGCGTTCTAGTAATTGTTCTAGTATCTTCCTAAACTACCCATATGGTAGTTTACTAGTAATCTATCTGGTAAGTATGGACATAGATGTATACCCTTGCTACTCAAGGGCATATGTTGAACTGGAAGGACCTTTTATGACTATATATGTACACATGATATATAACTAGTATTTAAACGACTTTCGGACGAATACCCGATATCCCACCAGACCACATCTCAAGGCGCGAAAAGGAAATAGGGTGGATAGCCTTTCTAAGTCTTTTAAACATTTCTTATATAACTATACATATAGAGGCATGCAATTTATAATATAAAAGCATAAATAAGTTTTGTAAGACATTTGAAACATAAATATTATTTTAAGAAAAGATCGACTTGATGTCAATCTATAAAACAATTTGAAGGCATAAGTTTAATAAAACAGTTTAAGTATAAGGAAACATTTGTTTGAAACACAGTTGTAAATAAGTTTGAAAGGAAATGTACGGAGTAAGTTGTACAGTGTAAAAAGGAGTTTAAAACATATAAAATGTTTATAAAAAGTCATTTGTAGGAAACTGTTTGGTAAAACGGCTAATGAGTAGCCAAATCATTTGAATGTTGTATATTAATCACATGTGATTGATGTAATAAGTAATATAGTCCTACTTACTAATCACATGTGATTAACATAATAAGTAGCATGATTCTACATCATAGATTGGTTTAGTAACCTTTAATCCAAGTTCTAAAATGGAGTTACAGAATAAAATATCCATTAGATCTTCAACAAGTGACAGAACTTGAAGAGAGAGAAAGTAGATATGTTAAGAATTCTAGAGAGAGAAAATGGATCCGAGATGGTTTATAGTGAGAGAAACAGATCTAAGATGGTTTCTAGAGAGATAAAGTAGATCTGAACACAAAAATTCGAATAAACATGAAAATTTTCTTCTATTTCTCTTCCAAAACACGACTCAAGAACAAATCAGATGAAATAATGAGTAGAAGATAACAGATATGAACAAGATTTTGCAATAAAAAAAGGTATAGATTTTTTTCTTTTCAGAAAACTTACAAAACTTGAAGAACAAGGTGAGATTCAAGATAAAATATCGCCATAAACAAGATTGATTCTTGCAATAATCGTTGAGATCTACAAGAACCTACTTTGATACCACTTTGAGAATAAATCCGAGATGACGAATGTGGAATATCAAGAACAATCAAGAATCAATCATCATCATATGCAAGTAATCTGACAAAGGTTTTTCGTGTATATTGATTATGAGATGAACGTACAAAGAAACCCTAATTTGGTAAACAGCTTACACCAAAAGTTAACCTAATGATTATTTATAGGGAACAATAAATATATACCATAAATATAAAATTTATGCCTTAATATAAAACCAATGCCTTAGAAGAGCTCGATTAATAAGTTCTACTGTAAAGGCACCGTAGGGAATCATAAAATGATTAACCCTAATAAGGCTTCCCTAAATAACCAAATATGACAAATCAGTTTCAATATCTAGAATACTCAACACTAAAAATGGCAAATTTATAGTCTAATATCATGTCCAAACTTTAAACTACACGTTGGAAAAAACAGCACGTCAATCGGAGTTGAAATGAATGAGATATGCATCTTTTAAACGTTTCACAAAAACCGGTTCTGACCCTAAAAATGGATCCGGTTCCTAACACCGGTTTCGGTTTTTAGACCCGATTTACCTAAACCCAATGGACCCAAACCCAGATTACCGGAACCTGGATAAAGCCAATTTTTAAACCCGGAACGGGAACCAGTTCTATATATTCCAGTTCTAAGGGTTTCGGTTCCGGTTTTTCGGTTCTAAATCTCATCCCTACTATAAAACTCTAGTTCATGGTTTGTTATTAATGCCTTGATTTGATATTGTTTCTTTGATGGATTATTATCATTATTTGAATTTTGTGTAACAAAGACATATCTTCGAAATATTATATTCGAAAATGTTCACATGGTCCTTCAAGTAGTTCTTGGCTATTCATCCATTTCAGAAACATTCTTCTCCTTCAAAAATTATATATATGTTTGCCTTGATTTGATATTGTTTCTTTGATGGATTATTCTTATTATTTGAATTTTTTGTAACAAAGACATATCTTCGAAATATTATATTCGAAAATGTTTACATGGTCCTTCAAGTAGTTCTTGGCTATTCATCCATTTCAGAAACATTCTTCTCCTTCAAAAATTATATATGTTTTGTTGGTTACTACTTTGGATAAACTTACTATTAATTTATGTAATAATATTTCAGTTTTATCCATTTTTATCAACTTATATAAATATAATCCAATTTATGGAAATTTATAGTTTTGTAATACAAACTAGAAAATAACAATATATGTTGATAAAAAGTTTCATTACATCAACAACTCATCAACCTTATTATTTAAAGTACACTTGGCAAACATGACGTGTGGTGTCGGGTTCATGTCGTGTCAAAACATTAAACGGGTTAAAAGGGCTTCGTGTTGTGTCTTGTCAACCCGTTTATTTTCGTGTCGGTTTTGTATCAGGTTTCGGGTTAAGGTTTAGACCTTGTAAATATGTTGTGTCATGTCGAGTTGAAATATTTTAAAGGTTGGAAAGTAGGAGTTGTGGAGGCAAAAAGGAAAAAGTGCAACACTAGAGTTATAAGATGGAATGATAAAATTTATAGTAAGTTTAGAAGGAAAAATGAAAAGAGTTAAAGTTGGGGAGCAAAAGGGATAAGTGGTGAGGATTAGTGATGAGATTTAGAACCGGAAACCGAACCGTTAGAACCGAAATATATAAAACCGGTTCCAGTTCTGGGTTTAAAAATTGGCTTTATCCGGGTTTTAGGTAATCCGTGTTTAGGTCCATCGGGTCCGGTTAAACCGGGTCTAAAAACCGGAACCGGTGTTTAGAACAAGAACCACTTTTAGGGTCGGAACCGATTTTTTTATAAAACATTTAAAAGATGCATATCCCATTCGTTTTAACTTCAATTGACATGCGGTTTTTTCCAACATGTACTTTAGAGTCTGTACGTCATTTTAGACTATACATTTGCCATTTTTAGTTTTATATTCATTGACTTATAGTCCCCCCAAAGTCGAGATATCAAAGCTGGAAGTTTTTAGTGTTTTTTTTTTTTTTTTTTTTTTTTTTTTTTTTTTGTATTCAGTGAAAGTTTTAAAACATGCATATCTAATTCATTTGAAGTCAGATTGACATGCGGTTTTTTTCATAGTGTATTTTAGAGTTTGGACATGTTTTTAGACTATAATTTTGTTAAATTTGGTTTTATATTCAGTGAGTTACAGTCCCTTAAAGTCGGGATATCAATATAAAAATTTTTAAACTTCAACCCAATAAATAGTAAGTAATTACCAAAAAATTCTGTTTTTTCGGGGTTTTCCAGTTCTAAACCCACATTATCCGGTTCCAAGCGACCTACTTTGATTTTTCCGGGTTTTCCGGTTCTAGACCCACTTTACCCGGTACCGTACCTGGAACCGAACCGGAACCGGTTTCTACATACCGGTCCGGTTTTCGGTTCTTCAAAATCCCATTAACCGGTTCCGGGTCTAGGTCCATCTGGTCCAGGTTTGGACCCACTTTCATCCCTAGTGAGGATGTATAAATTAAGTAACTTTGAAATTTTGAATATTATTTCTAATTATTGGTTTTAACCCACTACAAGTCTATAATATATAATATATTTATAAAAATATGAAATTTATAATAAATAATATATAATTAAACAGGTCATATTCGAGTTGAAAGTCTTGACCCTAACCCTACCCGTTTAATTTCATGTCGTGTCGTGTCAACCCGTTTACATAAACGTGTTAAAATCTCTGACCCTAACACGCTAATTTCGTATAGGATTTTTGTGTCCGACATGTTTTGTTTGTGGGGTCTAAATTTAAAGAGAAAAGAAAGGCAAAGCCCTGTCCCATAGACGAGGAATAAGACTAGTCGTCTAGATGTCTTATTCTTTGCTTGTTAAATTGAATCCGTGGAAACCCCGAGTGCTATGTCGCCTGTCACACAATCCTCACTCGACCCTCTTCCCTGATTTTTAAACCCCCAAAACGAACACAGAAACACGATTCTCGCTGCTCTTTGAAAGTTCAAATTTGGAACTTCCATATAATCAAGTATTAAAAAACCCCACTCATTTGTCGAACTATTCTTGGATAGATAATAGAATACAATAAATACAGGGTGTAGTAATAGTATACACTCCAAACCCCTATGATTAATTATCTTGCCAGAAAGACTTATTTGTCATCCCTCAACTTGAGTTTATTCAAATAATTTTGGCTTCGGATTTGCAAGATTCGGGTTGGATTTGATGCCGGAAACTTGAGATCTGAAGTAAGTAAGGAGCAGGAGGAGGAGGAAGAAGAAGAAGATACAGAAACCTGCACCTTCAATGGAACCTCCAACAGGGTTTTGGAAATCTTTAGGCCAATTCATCCTTTTCTTGCCTTATTTCATTGGCCTTCTGCTTCTTGGCTTCATTAAAGGTTAACTCTTTCTTTCACCCTTTGTCAATTTTGTGACTTTGATGTTATTTTAGGGTATTTATGAAACCCGTTTCGAATTAGAACTAAATAAGCTCCGTTTTCAATTCTTGAATGCTACTACTAGTGGGTGTTTTTAAAAAAAATTGTTTCTTGATTTCAGGAATCGTTTTCGCTCCAGTTGCTTGCATCTTTTTTTTTGTCCTTTTTTTGTTTTATTATGTGGTTGTTATTTTGGAACCCTTTTGCAAATTAGAACCAAATGAACTCCTATCCTAATTTTTTCAAAGGCTGCTAATTTTTGTGGGAGTCTTGTCAGAATAGCTTCTTTGATTCCAGCAACCTTTCTTTATCCCTTTCGTTTCAGTTTGTGATTGATGTTATCTTGGTGTATTTATGAAGCCCTTTTCTAATCATAACTAAATAAGCTTCAATCTCAATTCTTAAATGTTGTTTAGTAAAAGTTGCTTCTTTGATTTCAAAAACATTTCTTTTCCCAATTTGTTTTACTCTGTGATTTATTATCCGGGCGCATTTAGAAACCCCTTTCAAATTAGAACTAAATGAACTACATTCCATATCTTGAATGCTGATCCTGTACAAATTATTTCTTTGATTGCAGGAATCATTTTTGCTCCATTAATATGTGCTATTCTGACAATTGGAAACTCTACTATTGTAATTGGTCTTTACCCAGTACATGTCGTTTGGTCTTACTTTTCCATATTGAGGTAATTTCTTCAATTCAACCATTTTAGGGGCGATTAGATTCGTGTTTTGAAAACTGAAAGTGAATAATACATTCAAAATCAAAACCCATATCCAAACACCCCTTTAATTCTTAAAATACTTGTATCCATATATAAAGATTCTTTATTTAATTTCTTTAATGACAGTGCTAAACGATTAGGACCTGTGATGAAAGTGGTTGCATGCATTTTGTTTACACCAGTCTTGATTTTCTGGCCTATTGCAATGGTTGTGGGTAGCATTCTTGGTGGCTTAGCATTTGGTTTCCTTGGGCCAATGTTTGGAACTTTTAAAGCTGTTGGTGAAGGGAAAACCGATCAGTTTCTCCATTGTATTATCGTAAGCAAGATTTTCTTTAATTACTTAAAATGTTGTGTCCCGTTTGTTAAATCAAGATTTTCTTTAATTGCACTTGTCAGGATGGAACTTGGGACACTGTTGAAAGAAGCTTTACACTTGTGAGAGACTTATTAGATGTATGCTTCTATTCATACTTCTCTATGATGGATGATCTTCGAAAACAAGGTCTTCCAGATTCTAAAATTGAGATCAGGTTCGTTATGATTTCATCTTTTTGAACCCTACATACCATCTTGAATGTTCAATTTAAACTTGTTATCATGTGAAAGTGATTATTTGGTTATAATTACAGGATAGTCTATTGTCCTGTATCGATTCTGCTAGGTGTAGTAGGAGTGTTGGTTGACTTTCCAGTGATTACAGTTATAGCTGCATTGAAAAGTCCATACATGTTGCTCAAAGGGTGGCATCGTTTGTTTCAAGATTGTGTGGGGAGAGAAGGCCCTTTCTTGGAGACAATTTGTGTGCCATTTGCAGGTTTAGCCATCTTGCTATGGCCATTGGCTGTTGCTGGAGCTGTGTTAGCCTCCATGATATCTGCTATCTTTCTTGGTTTATATGCAGCTGTTGTATGCTATCAGGTGACTGACTACTGCAATTTATACTTTTTTTTTTTTCTTGATGTATATTGAATAAATTTTGTCAACTTTTTGTGATGTATATTGACTAAAGTTGAAAAGTTGAAATATTTCTTGGATTGATGAAGAAGTTGTTGGGGGTAAGGTAAATGCTAACTTATTGAGTTTGTGGGAACAGGAATCGTCTTTCTATCTTGGGCTTTGTTATATTGTATCTGCATTGTCCATCTTTGATGAGTATAGCAATGATATTCTTGATTTGCCCGAGGGATCTTGCTTTCCCAAGTAATAATCATGTTCATTCACCTTTTTTATTTTTTTTTATTTGGTAAGTTGTAAAATAATTTGGCTAATAATAATATATTTTTGTTTTTAAAGGCCTAAATATCGGCGCAACCCTGGATTGTCTACTTCGAGTTCTTTCTCAAGGATGGGATCGTCTAAACATCCACCCTCTCGGTCTGGATCTCTGCGGGCCCCCATGATTGAATTGAAGCCGTTGGAGGTTTGCTCTTATTATAACTTCGAGTCTTAATAAATAAGTTATAAAGGGGTGTTTGATTTGTCAAATGTTTTTGGAATGAATGAAATTTGTCAACGGAATTGGAATCTGAAGGAATTGAAATATGTCATGTGCTTGATTGGGAGAAATGGAAAGGAATTCAATAACGAAAATTAGATAACTTTTAAAATTTCACTTATATATATATATATATATATATATATATATATATATATATATATATATATATAATGAGGGTATTTTTGTCATTTACTAAAAAAAATGAAGGATGAAACGGACTTCCATCCACCCAACCATAGGAATGGTGGAATCTAATAGAATACGACGGAAGTGAATTCTGTCCATTTGGCAACCAAACACGGCATGGAATGGAATCTCGAATTCCAATTCCGTCGACTGATTATTCATTCGATATGCTACGAATTGTGCAGTTGCTGGATGGTTTCTTCTCAGAATGTCGTAGACAGGGTGAATTCTTGGTGTTGGAAGGATTAATAACAGTAAAAGAGATTGTGGATGCAAAATCCAACAAAGAAACTGGAACCGTAATAACCGTCGGTGTGCCCGCTTATTGTCTTTACCAATCACTTTTACGCTCCGCAAAAGCCAATACTGCCGGTCTATTGCTCGGTAATTTTTATATCATATTTTTATTGATTTTTTACTTTGTTTTTGACAACTTTCTTACATCAGCGGATAATACGGAGATAACCACCCTAAACAGACCCAAAGACACAATCTATGATTGGTTCTTGAACCCGCTTTTGGTCATCAAAGATCAAATCAGAGCACAAAATCTCACACCAACTGAAGAGGATTATTTAGGAAAACTAGTTTTGTTGAGTGGTGATGCCCAAAAGTTGAAAATTTCCAACATTGGTCCCCCACCCGAATCCGAGCTTAGACGGGCTGAACTTGAGGCCATTGCTCGAAGGTAATATTAACACTCATTTGACATTTTAGCTAAAATATAGTTTTTTTTTTTTTTTTTCTTCCGAATGTTGATTGATGGATTGGTGGTTTTAATGAAGGCTTCAAGGGATAACAAAGTCGATATCGAGGTACCCAACATACAGAAGACGGTTTGAGAACACGATGAAGGCGATATCTGAAGAGCTTGAGGGCAGGGATGGCAGTAACAGAGGACCTCAAACTGTTCCCAGATCCAAAAGTACATTTGCTCGGATTTTTAGCGCACAAAGATCATTTAGAAATAAAACCAGTAATCATGGGGCTACACAGGAGGATGAACGAGATGTCAATATTGTATAATTAATTAATTATTAATTATTAATTACACCCCTTTGTAAAAACCGGCCATTCGAGATTCTTTTGTGTTTTCGTATCATATGTTGTTATTTGTAATTGTAACTGGAGACTTTTGTGTAAGAATGGCTTTTTAGATAATAGTTGATTCTTTCAAACATGTACATCCGGTCACTATTTTCTGTACTAAACTAATTTGTTTGCTCAAAAGACACCATCATACCTGATTATATGGCGTCTACGTCACAACTTTAGTGACTTAAAAAGTTAACCGCCTGTTCTCCATTTACACATTTGAATTTCTTATTTACAGATTAAAACCACTATTATTTGTGAATGGAAAACAATTGCTTCTCGTCCAAAATTATTAAACCTAAAAACTACTCTCATTTGAATGTGTTTTCAACGAAACAAATTGAGTTTAATGATCAATATGGTGTACAAAGAAGAAAATGACAACATGTGTAAATGAATAACAATTGGTCATTAAAAAAATAATGATAATACATCTGGTAGGCCAAATAAGTTTTTAATAACAGATAAAAGAATAGCCCCTACAACATATTTATAACAGCTAGGGCTTTTTTTTTTTTTTTTAAAATTAAATAACTAAATAATTAAATCAATAAATAATAAAATATTTAAATTATCGATTTGAAATAAAAGATTTATGAATTGATAAGATTAAATGTTTGATTTGACTAAATATATGAAATTAAGGTTATTAGAAGAAAAGTTGATTGAAATTTATTTGGCCATAACTATAACTATATTTAGTTATTTAGGGCAACATACTAAAAAAATACAATTGATTATCTGCCTGTAGACATAAGAAAACCCTTATATTATTTTATTATCCAGAAAAACACAACCTATTATATGTTTACTAGTTTATAACCCATGAAAACCACAGTTATAAAATTAATCAAAATTTTATAGTAAAAACACAAAATTATTAATTAATTATTTTAAATAAATTATTAATTAAGAGTTTTTTTTAGTTATATAAATTTTAATAATTGATTTAAATAAATATGTGAAATTATATCACTTGTATTATTTTAATTTTTATTTTTATTCTAATGTTATTAATTTAATGTAATTAAAGTGAAAATTTTAAAATTTGAAATTTGAAATGGAGTTGACAAGTGACGTACATTAATTAGGAGACATAATAAGGTGACACATGGCAAAAAGAGAATAAAATATGCATTAATTAGGAAACCTAATAAGATGACACATGTTAAAAGGAGAATAAAACTATTCTTTTATTAGAATAGAGATATGAAGAAAAAACCTAACTTTTTTTTTTAGCACAACTCATTATATTTTATATTTAAAATAAAACCCAAACTAAAAAGTTTCAAATTGACAATGATATACTTCATATGATACTGATAACTAAATTTATGTGCTAATTATAAATATTAAGATGCATAGTATGAGAAAGACGAATTGGTTTCGTACCTTGTTCAATTGTATATTTGACATGCCTATTTTTAACAGGCCAAATCTTTTGCAAACCTTTAATTTGAGTTTTTTTAAAGGTAAAATATAATGAGCTGTGTTCTTTTGGACAAAAAATAATATAAAAGTCTTTTTATATGCATACGTATAATTAAATTGTTTTTTGCATATAAATATATGATTGTTTATTATACATAAAAAATAATCCACGTCATTATTATTGAGTAAATATAATAGAAACAAACATTTTTTTTATTTGAGAATAAGGGGAAAAAGATAATATTTGAAATACTACTAGTGGATTTTTAAATTGAGTTATAAAGGCAAAGGCTTTGGACTTTGAGTGGCTTTTCCCGTTTAATATTTGCATTTAAAGAGATGAACGTTACTCAGATGATTGTTTCCTCCAAATTCAAATAGGTAGGACCCAACCACCAGCTGAAAAAGAAGAAACCCCAGGCGACTTTTTCTATAACGTACGCCTCTTTTCATTTGAATTTCAAATTTTTGAGTAATTGGTCAGTTGCAAGTAAAGATTTTGTAACGAAACCCTTACCTTGATCTACTTTATTGCTTCTGGGTCGTTTTCTTCTCTGTGTTTTCGTCTTCTTGATAGACATGGGAGAATCGACATGTCTCATGCATTCTCTACCTGAACCCAACAACCATGTAAGTCTCGACAAATTCATCAAGTGATTATTCTTCATCATGTTTTTTAGTTATCAACTACCAATTTGTACCAAGTGTTTGTCAAAGTGCTCCAGTGAGTTGAATTTTACTGAAAATATGTTTTTGTGAACTTTTCTGGATACTCAACTGATTTCTTATCGTATAATGTTGGGACTGAGTTACTGACTACAAACTGTTTGTAGAAATGCCCCAATGAGTTGAACTTCACTAAAAGCATACTCTTACCAGTTTTCTTGCACTCAATTGGAGTGTCTCTTTGATCTGAACCGATAAATCTGGTAAAATTACTTGTTTACAGGGGAACCATGTACATGTTCTTGGAGATTCAGTCTCTTTTGGGAGGTTCACATCAGAGTCATTAGCTTGGGAAAAATGGTCAACATTTTCTCATAAACGCTATGTTGAAGAAGCCAAGAGTTATGCCCAACCTGGATCAGTTGCCCAAAAGAAAGCTTTCTTTGAAGCTCATTACAAGAAAGTGGCTGCTCAAAAAGCTGCTGCAGCCGCTGCTGCATTGCTTGAGCAAGAAAAAAACGCCATCGCCACCACCACCACCACCACCAGCCCCAAACCCCATGATTATTCACAAACATCGTTGGTGAACATTCATATACCACAACCACCATTGTTGAATACACAGAAAATTGTCAACGAAGAACAACCTCTCAATCTTGTTGTATCGGGAGCTGAAAAGGTTGTAGCAGATGTGGGTTTGAAGAAGAAAGATTTGGTAAACAAGATTGAGAATCTTGAAGATCATGTTTCTGTTTCTGAGGATAGTAGAACATCTCAAATGGACAGACCTTTGTTGAAGGTAATTATAAATTTATAATACTTGTTCTTTTTTTTGTTGTTGATTAGTTTAAAAAATGATTGATTATATATTTTTATTTTGTTTTAGTCAAAGTCGAACAATGAGCAGGAGGTTTTACAACCAAGAATGAGGAGAAAACCAGCTACACCTACTTTCAGGTCAACATTAGTCAACAAGAAACAAGTTAAAATCCCACCTTCACCATCAAAGTATGTTGCTTTTATGAATCCCAGAAAAGAAAACAACATCATCACTCCAAAATCCAAAAATTCCACTACAATGGATTCTGTAGATAAAAAGAGAATAGCTCCAAGATCTTTATACACGTTAATGAATTCTGGTTCTGTTAAAGAATCACAATCATGCAAATTAAACTCTCAAAATGTTCAGAAGATTGAAACCAAAAAACCTGTTCCTAGTGCTCATTCCACACCCAAACGCTATCCAACACCTGCAAGGACTCCTTCTAAGGTAAATTACATTTTTGCCACTCCATTATATGCAATGCAACTTAAACTTATGTGAATTTTGTTTCCTAGGTTAAAAGTGGGGTGAATAAGCAACCTTTGGCAACACCTTCGGTAAAAAGAAGGTAAGTTACTCGAAATTTTATTTTTTTAATTTCTTTAAATGGTTTAAATAATCTTGCTGTTTCTTTTTACTTTTTATTAAAGGGTGGAAACACAAACGCCTTCAGCTGTTGGAAGCAAAACTCCGAGTCAAAAATGGCACATTTTCTCAGCTGTGTGAGTTGTTTCAGGAATTATCATTTTGACATTTTAAAGGATTCATACTCTAAATATGAATGGGAAAATTACTGTTTTAACCTTTTTGAATTGTTGTGTGTTAATAATGTAGTTCAAAGTCACTGAATGCTTATAGAAACAAGTTGCAATCACCAACTGTATCTTCTCCTTTTACTTTGAGAACAGAGGAAAGAGCTGCACGAAGAAAACAGGCAAGAATAGCAAAGCCTACTTTATTACTCTTGAGCCTTTTATTAAAAAACTTAAAATATTCTTTCTTGTAGTTTAATGAATCTATGTTTTGCATTTAATTATTTTCAGAAGCTTGAAGAGAAGTTTAATGAAAAAGAAGCGCAGAAAGTGCAGCTGCAAACATCATTAAAGGTTATTATAATCTTTCTCATTTCTCAAATTTCCATTTATTTTCTTGGGTTTTTTATATTCGAATAATTTAAAAATACAGGAGAAAGCAGAAACAGAATTTAGAAGACTTCGTCAAACTTTCTGCTTTAAAGCTCGGCCATTACCGAGTTTTTATAATGAAAGAGAAAGAGAAACACCAAAGAGCATGATGAAAAGGGTATGTATATATATATTTTTTTATAAACAAAAAATGTATGTATTTTGAGGAATGGATTTTGTGTTTGTTTTTGTAGACTCCACAAGCACAAGGGCATTTGAATTTGAGGTCGGTAAATGTAACGCCTACAAGAAAAGCTCCGACAACAACAACAATGGTATCATCACAACCGTGTTCCATCAAGAAATCTTCTAGAAGACTTTGGAAAAATAACAATGATCAAAATCCGATTAATCATCCTTTGTCTGAATTAGCAAGAAGGATTAGCCATGAAAATATGTCTCCAAATATTCAGTAGTTTTAGTTTGTGCATATTATAACTTTTGCTGGCTGGTTTTATATGTCTGTCCATTTCCAGTTAAAAGATGATTGATTGATTACTAATATTTCTCAATTGCCAATTGCCAAGGCCTTTTGGCATGAATGCAAAATTTGTTGTATTTTGGAAACAGAGTTTAAATATGATTATCTTATTAATCTTTGTCTTATTTGTGTTCAAAATTTGAAACAAAACCCATCAAATGTTGTTTTCATGTTAGCACCAGACCCATCAAATGATAAAGAAACAATCCCCACAAAATGATTAAAAACACATCCTTTATCATTTTCATGGGGTTGGATTTATATTATAAATTAAAATGGGTCCAACAAATCAAGGAAATTATAATTATGATAAAATATATATATATATATATATATATATATATATATATATATATATATATATATATATATGTGGTTGTAGATCAATTTTGAAGAAAGTAGTTGTAAATGAATCATTGGAATTATGGTTTATCTTAGAAACAAACAAGCGAACAAGAATTGAGCTAACTTTATTCATATAATACACAATTAACAAACTATATGATTACATCATTAACATATAATAACAATAATTTAAACCAAACCCCAAAATCATCATGCATAATTAGAATATGATGATATGATGAATTTGATCAAAAGAATTTGAATTTACTCCATTTGTCCACCTACCAAATACCAATCATCGTCTCCATATTCATCCTCATCTTCATGTCCCCAGCATAACCCCACATCACAAAAGCTCATGGCATCATCATCATCATCATCCTCATCAAACTCATCATCATCATCAATATGGACATCATTCTCATGCTCATCTGCCAAAATCCCAATCCCAATTGCGAATCCAGCACCAAGGTCTATTGCATGAGTACCAACATCATGATCATGATGATTGTCGTCATCATACGCATAATTATAACCATAAGTTTCTTCTACTCTACCCTCGTAATCATAATCATCATCATTATAACCCTCTTCATTAGCCAAATAAGCCAAAACCCTAGTCGCCGAGTTCCCAACAGGATATTTGGTCCACTCGTTCTCAGGATCTATCGATCTGATCTTCATGGCCCCTTTAGCCTTATCTCTGGACTTACAAACCGCGTGTTTATGATGATGACCGGAGCACCGCCCCTTGTGACATTTCCCGGTACACTTTGATTGATTCGTCGGCTTGTTGAGCACCTTGGTGAACAGCCGTGCAGCGGTGGTGGAATCCACCATCTTTTTGTAGCGTTCTTGAGCCAAAAGAGGCTGATTGATATCGTAACACCTGATTGCACCATGTTGACGACGATCTCCTTTCATTTTGATTGTTGTTTGAGAAGTAATTTGGGTACAGAAATGGTGAAAAGTGTGGGTTTGGGAAGAAATTAATAGGGAAAAGAGTATAGACTATGGAAGGATGAAAGAGGTTAGATTATTGAAGACGATTTGTTCAGTTGATACGCAACGTGGTTTCTTTTTGGAGGGTCAACCGTGCGTATTTGCCAAGCTGGCTGCCTATCGTCAATTCTATATCTATTTCTATTTATGGTTTATATGTAACTCTTTTTAGGCATAATGGGAATATCCCATTTCTGCAACTCCTTTATCCAAACATGGTCTATATTATTATAAGATTAAACAAAAAACACCAAAAAAATAAGTTTATTAAAATAAAGAAAATCATATTTTAGTATTTATAAAAATGGCCACCATTTAACATTTTCAAATTTCAAATTTCAAATGATATATATAATATGAATTTTTTTTCCTCATTTGTATTATACAATTTTCAAAAACTTTTTCTATTTATTTTCGAAATACGTAATTATATCCATTTTTCAACCAAAAATTACCTTTATGCGTCTGTATGGTATCTACCTTCCATTTGTTAGGTTTTTTTAATCTACTTGATAAACTCCAGTAAAAAAAAACGAATCATGTTCTTGAAATTTCGGATTTCAACAATTTTCTTCAAATTCTAAAATACCTTCTAAAATAAACCTTTTACCTTTTTCAAGAAAATATATCTTTAATATGACATAAACTTGATATAAAATATCTGGTTATGGTTATGTTATTCTTTCATATTTGAATGTTTATTTTGGTGAAATCGAATGGTTTTTGTTTATCATTTTATAATTTCCGTGTTTATGTTAAAAATAAATTTAAAACCGACTTCAAATTCTTTCAACATGATACTTTCTAATTCTCTTTTAGACTAATGACATTAAAATGCATTTTTGCCCAACACATCCCAATAAAATGGCAAGGATGATATTGATAGCGTTCTTCACACTTCGTTTTTTTTCAAACCCCTCTTTCACTTAAATTTTGGATTGATGCCTTACATATGGTTGTTCACACCCATAACCTTTTACATACCACCATACACTTTCTCAGGCCCGATTCTGACGGTGGGCAACTCGGACGGTCTCCCAGGACCCATGTCGCTAAGGGGCCAAAAGATCCAATGTAAAAATTTCATTTTTATTATAAATGAAGCAGTATTGTAACTTGTTCAAAACATTGAAAAGCATTTCAAATAAAGCACTTATCAGAGTTTAATCCCAAATATCACATGTTGCGGAAAACACGGTTGTATGCGTTGTGATCGTCCCGAGCTCTTTCATTTGAAAACTGGAGTACCTGAAACAAAAACTGAAAACCGTAAGTATAAAGCTTAGTGAGTTCCCCAAATATAAAATACCATACATATCAAACGATCCATACATGCCATACATAACTGCAAGTCATACATATCATTCATATAACATAATCAATAAATGTGTTATGTGTCGCACATAGTCCTGCCATTATGCCACGAGCCACCTCGTGGTCTTTCTTGCCAGGTCGGTGGCCACATGGGTCTTATAGACAAGTGACAGGAACCACCTTCGGGTCTTCCATGCAAGCATCAAAAAGACAACTAACATATAGTCTACAACTACTTAACTAATAATCGCCAAAGTTTAGAATCTGGTCTTGCATACAGTGTGCCATGAGTCGCCTCCTGGTCTTTCATACATAATGCCAATGGCTAATCCCCGGGTCTTCCTACAATACATAAACCAAATGGGCCAACATTGGTGCCTTTGACATATACAAACAGTGAGGAGACTCACCTCGAATGCTGAAGTTCACTGCAAGAAATCTCTAGTTGCTGCCTTAACGACTTCCCAAACTAATAATTACCAAAATAATATCCAATTAGCAACTGAATTCCAAACTATGATCCATAATCCAAACTTAGGGTAAAATGACCATTTTACCCCTGGTCCATCAAGACTCACGACCAAGGCCCAAGCCTAAAACCAACAAGGCCCAAAACTATAAGACCCATAAAATCCCATTAATGGCCTAATTTTCCAAATTGGGCCCAACCGCATATGGGCCTTACCCAAAAGTCCAACAATTCCTGGTCCAATAATAATTCTCCGATAGCCTAAAGGTCCAAACCCATTGGTCCCACTAAGGTCCAAAACCGGCCCAATACAAAATCTTGGCCCAACTAGACAAACCCAAACAAGACTCCAAGTCTCTTACATTCCTATGACCAGAAAGCTCAACACATAAAACCCAACCCAATTCCTAAGCCCAAACACGAAACAAGCCTAAAAGCCCTCAGATCCACGAACGCGGGGCGTACGCTCAGCTTACGTTGGGCGTACTCGAGGAATCTGGATCGCGACCAAAGAGGAGGTACGCTGGGCGTACCTCTAGTACGCGGGGCGTAACCGCTGATCCTCCAAACTCAGTTTATAACTTAGCCAATTAAGCACTTTGCATCCAAACCTCGAGAAATCTCCAAACGAAGCTCTTAATGCATAAAGTCAGCACATTTATGCGTTTGCATGACTTAAAGGGACCCAATGACCAACTTAACCCAAAAATACCCATCTTAATCCATCTAGAACATGCATGAATAATTTATAACCTTAAAGATGGCAACTTTATGGACTTATAACCTCAAAAATGCTAAGAGTAGCAACTGAAAGCTCCTAGAGTGGTGTCCAACCACTAGATCTCACTCATGAGGTCAAAATGGGACCAAAAACCCACATAATCATAAATATCAATTTCCAATGAGCAAGGTTAGAACTTTTTACCTTCTAGGAGCTGAAAATGTAGCAAGAAGTCCAGATCCACAAGCCCTTCCTTGAACCACCACCTTGTACCAAGCTTCTACTTCTTGAAATACACTAGAGTCCACCAAATATGCACATGCAAGGCTCATAACACTCTTGGATGAAGCTATAGCTCGAGATTTAGGCTTTAAGACACTGGAGGATGAAAGGGAGGCTCACACTGGGGACTTAAGGTGCTTATATAGTGACCAACCCTAAATATTAGGGTTTTGGAGATCCTGAACGTACGCTGGGCGTACAACTCCCAAACCCGCGTTCCACTTTTCCACCCTTACACTGGGCGTACCCTAGCTTACGTTGGGCGTACTCACGCGCATGCCACCTTTGCATGCATGGGGACAAAATGCAAGCTTTTTCCACCGAGGGCCAAATCTGCCAATAACTTCAAAATGCCATAACTGCCTCATCCTAGGTATGTTTCCAACAAACCTTATATCCATGAAAAGGTGGCGAGAAGCCCTACGCTCCTAAAAACACACCCAAGCCTTAAAACCTCCCGAACAAAACCCAATGCCCATAAAAGACCGAGATATCAAATTACTACCCTTGGCTTCCAAAGGCACAATCGAATACTTGGATCACTTATACCATGGAAACCACATTCAAAATAGGCTAAATCCTTCCTTTCTCGAAGCCTTAAACCTCATGACAACTGATGACTAGTCCCCAGCCTAAGCAACAGATCAAATCTAAAACCGAGTATTACAACTCTCCCACATTTAAATTAGATTTCGTCCTCGAAATCGCTCCTTACTAACACCCATATCAAAACAAACAATATGAGTAACACAACCGATGATTCATCGTATAAGACAACCTTCCCAAGATAACTGAAACCCAAACCGAAATTTAATCCCTAAGAAAACAAACCTTAAACTCCAACAAAACCAATTCTGGGTATCCAAAGTCTGAAATCTATAATGGTATGTCTCCCCAATAGACCGCCAATGTTGAAATATTACAATGCCAAAATCTCATCGAATAACTATCCAACCAT